TAGCTGTCAGTAATGTTACCACAACTACTGAGAAAACAAAAGTGGTATTTATAAAGACAAAACACAAGCCACATACTAGGAATCATTTGCTGCACTATGGGGAGACAAAGGGTTAATGACTACTGTACACAAGGAGCCCCAACAAAGCAATGAAACTGTCCAAACAAGGTGGCAGAGAAATGAACAGATTATGGAAAAGTAGCTCACACAAGAAATTCAAATGGCCAACATTCATGTAATATAAACTTTATTAATAGTGAAAAATGAACATTGAAACTCATTACTAATAGTGTGATAGCATACACTTTGGTGATAGCAAACACTTTGGAGGTAAAAGTAGGAAGATGGAGAGTTCAGGGCCAAGATGGGCAATACAAGACCCTGTTGCAGAGATGACTCAGTGGTTAAGAGCATTCACTGCTCTTGTAAAGAACAGGAGTTCAATTCCCAGTTTCCACATCAGGTGGCCCATAACTCTCTGTAACTCCAGCTCCAGGGCTATCCAACATTCTGGCCTTAATGGGCACCATCATTCTCTTGCACAAACCCACAAACAGACCGCACACGTGCACATAATTAAAAATAAAAGGTAAAAGGAAAAATTAGTGGTGGTGGTGGTGGTGGCACACACCTTTAATCCCGGTATTAGGGAGTTGAGACCAGCCTGTTCTACACCATGAGTTTCAGGACAGCCAGGGCTTACACAGAGAAACCCTGTTTTGAAAAAACAAAAACAAACAAACAAAAAACAAACCAAAAAGAAAAAACAACAAAACAGAACTCCAAGCACAACCAAACCAAACCAAATAAAAACCCAATAATATTTAAGTATCACTTTCCCCCCTTTCTTCCTCCTCTTTCCTCTCCCTCCCCTCTCTTCCTCTATGACTGGTAATATGTTGGTGAAGGTATTGATTAGACAGTAATTTTTGTCCCCCAAGACAAAGTTTCTCTTTTTAATACCCTTGGCTGTCCCGGAACTTACCTTGTAGACCAGGTTGGCCTGGAACTCACAGAGATCTGCCTCTGCACCTCCTCTTCCCCTCCACTGGGAATACTGCCCTTCCCTGCCCTGCCCTGCCCTAGCCCTGCCCTTGCCCTGCCCTAGCCCTGCCCTGCCCTGCCCTGCCCTATCCCTGCCCTAGTCCTGCCTTGCCCTGCCCTAGCCCTGCCCTGCCCTAGCCCTGCCCTAGCCCTGCCCTAGCCCTGCCCTAGCCCTGCCCTGCCCTGCCCTAGCCCTGCCCCGCCCTAGTCCTGACCTGTCCTTGGTTAAGGGTGCAGATTGCTCTGAGTGGTGGCAGCTGCCAATGCTCGTCTTTAATCCCAGCACTCAGGAGGCAGAGGCAGGTGGATCTCTTTGAGCTTGAGGCCAGCCTGGTCTACAAAGCTACACAGAGAAACCCTGTCTAGAAGAATAAAAACAAAACAAAAACAAAAAAGATAGCTTGCTAGTACAGGCTGTAATTCTAGCTTCTCATTTCAGTGAGTGAAGCTGTAAACATACTACTGGTTTGTCAGCTGATGTGTCAATTTTGCAATTCCCTGCTTAGCTTCTTTTTAAAAAAAACATAATTCTTTATTGATTCTTTGGGAATTTCACATCATGTACACCAATCCTGCTCACCTCCTAGTCTCTCCATACATGCCCCTCACCCCTGTAGTATGCCCCCCAAATTAATTACAAACAAAACCAACTAACCAATTCACCAACCAACCCACCAACCAATCAACCAACCAACCAACCAACAAACCAACCAACCAACCAACCAACCAAACAAACAAACAAACAAGCAAAAACCCACCTTGCTCTTCTGTCTTTCCAACACCTCTTCATTCATTCTAGTGGCATCCAGAGCTGCAGTGTGACACATATATACCCTTTTGTCCAATCAGCCCCACCCAAGAAATGTTCATTGCAATGAGTCATTGGTCTGGTTCAAGGCCTCTGGCAGATTATCATCATCACTGGACCCTCACCAAAGCTCCTCTCTGATGCCCTGCTGTTGCCTGGAGTCATGTAGACCCTGCAGCTATTGCTCTGTAGTGCCAGTGCCTTCACGAGCTCCGGCATGTCATAGATGGGGTAGATGTTAGGGTGGGCCAACCCAAGGCCCAGGGTGTGGGTCACAGTGACACCTGAGCTGGGGGATACTAGGGGAAGGGGCAGATTTTCTAGGTCTCGCAGACCTGTGGTGAGTGGTGGGGCCATCTCTCCCAAGTGTAGGGACCAGATTCCCATGAAGGGCGGGACCAGTTCTCTTGATGCAGTGAGGGGCAGGGCCAGCTATCCCAGGGCCATGAGGGGCAGGACCAGCTCAACATGGACCTCAGATTTTAACACTGCATGGCTCTTATTACCCCCTGTGGTAACATGGGCCATGGACACAATCACAGATCCCAGCTATGGCAGAAACACAGACCCAGATATGCCCTCGGCAGCAGCCAGGCCCAGAAGACACCATGGCCCCATGTAGCAGCTCAGGTTACCCAGATCGGCATGACTCCAGTGGCGGGACAGAGACACCAACATGGCCACATGTTGTGGCCCGGGCCACTGGCATCCACGGGGTTTTTAGAGATTCCATGGGTCATGGACATCAACGTAGAACCCAGCTGTGGTAGGACCACAGACCCAGTCATGGTCCTCAGTAGCAGCCTGGGCTTGGATGTCACCACGGCCCCAGATGGCAGCATAAGCCACTCAGATTGGCATGGGCTCCCGTGGCAGCATGGCTTTTGGACACCAACATGGTGTCGACCCAGATCCCTATCATCAATATTGCCTTGGATGGTATCAGGAGTCATGGACATCAACATAGACCCTGGCTGTGGCAGGATCACAGACAAGACCCTCAGCAGCAGCCCTGGACTGGCCTACACCACGGCTCCAGGTAGCAGCTTAGGCCATTCAGATTGGTGTGGCCCTGGTGGCAGCATGACCCTCTGGTGACAACCTGGCCACAGGTTCCTGTTTACCTTCTTAATTTGTTGCCCAGTGGCATTTGTTTAAATGGTTTGTATTTCTGAATACCAATCTTGGGAAAAACTGAATAAAACACAAATTGTTCATCCACAGCATATAAGGGTATTTTTTGAGGACTATTTTCTAACTCTTTCTGTGAGAGAGAAAAAGTTTTTGTTTGTTTGCTTGTTTTTCGGAGACAGGGTTTCTCTGTGTAACTGCTCTAGCCATCCTGGAACTCACTCTGTAGACCAGGCTGGCCTTGAATTCACAGATATGCCTCTGCCTCCCAACTGCTGGGATTAAAGGAGTGTGACACCATGTCTGGCAAAAAAAAAATCATCTTTTGTTTTGTTTTATTTTTTTCAAGACAGTTTCTCTGTGTAACATCCCTGGCTGTCCTGGGACTAGCTCCGCAGAGCAGGACCTCACAGAGATCCATCTGTCTGCCTCTGCCTCCCGAATGCTGGGATTAACGATGTATGCCACCACCACACCCTAGAAAAATGTTGTAAGGAACAACAATTAAGAGGGCTTTTTGGCATACCTCAGGCTGGCCTGGAATGTAATTTTTCTTTCTTTTCATTGATCTTGTTTTATTTATTTATTTATTTATTTTATTGGTTTTTGAGACAGGGTTTCTCTGTGGCTTTGAAGGCTGTCCTGGAACTATCTCGTAGAGCAGGCTGGTCTCGAACTCACAGAGAGCCACCTGCCTCTGCCTCCCGCATGCTGGGATTAAAGGCATATGCCACCAACTCCCAACTCTATTTTGTTTTATTTTTTAAGTGTGTGTGTGTGTGTGTGTGTGTGTACACAAGTGCCTACCCATTCCAGAGGCATGGGATCTTCTTGGAGCTGGAGTTATGGGTAGTTGAGAGCCATCTGACATGAGTGTTGAGAACTGAACTTGGGTCTATTAGAAGAGAAACAAAGGTTCTTAAACACTTAGCCATCTTTTCAGCCCAGCTTTTTTGTTTTTTCTTTATTTTTTTGAGACAGCATCTCCATATAGAGCACCACAACTGAGTATGTAGGCCAGGCAGGCCTTGAACTCAATAGAGACCCTCTTTCCTGAGTGCTGGGGTTAAAGGCGTGCCCCGCCATGCCGAGCTTCTTCTCTGAAGAAATATTTCACTAGTTTATGCGTTTGAGTGTTTTGCCTGGTGCTGGTAGAGACCAGAAGAGGGCGTTGGATCCTCTGGAGCTGGAGTTACAGCGCTGTGAGCTTCCATGTGGATGCTGGGAATCAAGCTCTGGTTCTCTGGAAAAGCAATGTTGGTAACTACTGAGCTAACTTTCCAGCGTATACCCCAAGTTGGCGCACAACTGCTTATAACTCCAGTTCTAGAGGCTCTAATGCCCTCTTATGACTTCCACCAGCACTAGGCATGCACCAGGTGTGCAGACAAATGTAGAAAAAACACCCATACACTTTTTTTTTCCAGACAGGGTCTCACTGTATAGTCTCAGCTGGCTTGGAGCTCACTGTGCAGACAAGGTTACCCTCAAACTTCCAGAGTGTATCCCGAGTGCTAGACCTAAACGCTTGTGCCACCAGTGTGTCCCACACACACACTAGAAGGAAAAAGTAGCCAGCTCTCTTAACAACCAAGCCATCTCTCCAGTCCCTTCATAGTTTTTTTGTTAAAGGCCTAGTCAGTGGGTTGACTATTGGCAATCACTGTTGTTCCCCAGATTTTACTCACACTTTATAAAAATGATAGTCTTTGAACGATGGATAATTCACACTTCTATTACTATTAGGAATGCTCCCTTCCTACCGCGGAAGAAATTATCTTATTTACATTCGGGTCTCTCTTTTAACCTCTTGATGGTGATGGTGATGGTGATGGTGGTGGTGGAATTGGTTTCATCCACTATCTTGAACTACAACTTCCATGAAGCAACCGGCAAAGCCTGCGTGATTTGACGGGACCTTCAACCAATCCAATGCCAGGGCTCGTAGCCAGCGACCTATTGGCTCTTGGTAGAGGCGGGACTCCCAGTTGCTAGGCTGGTGTCTTTCCGGAAGTGGTTGCCGGTCGCTGCAGGGCAACACCCCGGCGTCCCTGGAAGCGGGGGCCGGGGTGGTGCTGGGTAGGCGGCGCCGGGCCATCGTCCCGGGAACCCCGGGGTGGGGACAGGTGAGACCTCGGAACCCGCCTTGGTGGCGTGGCGGGCATGGAGTTTGCAGGGAGCTGAGGTGCTGCGAGGTGTTGCTGCGAGGGAACTGAGGTGGGAGAGGAGAGCCCTCGAGCTTGCGCGGCCTGGTTTTCTAACCTCTCCTGAATCTACTCCCCCCTCACCCTTCCCCACTCCACCACGCTCCTCCTCTCATAACCCACTCCTGGAATGTCCCAAGCTCAACTAAGCTCTTGGCATCTTTTGACCAGCTGGGCAAGAAGGGAGGTTTTGGGTTTTCTTTGCACTGATTTAGGAATCTCCTCCTGGAACCGCTGCCCTCTTCTTGGCCTGGGTGATTCGCTCAGCCCTCTGCAGGCCCCTGCTTGCTTCTCATCTGACTTCAGCTCTGGGGATTGCGCTCAGAGTTTTAGTTACCGGTCTGATACCTCCTTCTCGAGCTCAGACCTGCTTATGGATCGTCTCCAACCTTCCCTGGACTCCAGATCAAAATCTGTTGGCGTGTTTCTTGTCTCAGTTCAGAACTTCCCCAGCCATTTAGCCCAGTCTGCACTGGGCATTCATTCTGGTGTCTGCAGCACGCATCTGTTTGGCACGGCTCCGATTCTAGACAGTCTGCTATGGGGTTGCTTCATGGCTAAGGCATAAAATCAGAACGCACTGGCTGAAATCTTCTTTGCTTTCTCTCTTCTCTCCCTTCACCTAGACCGTAAGACCTGTTTTCTGAGTTCTCCTACCCTCCGGATTGGCCCCTTCTTTTCATTCAGGGAGCCACAGCCTTGGTTCATAATTTCTGGTTTGTGCTTTCAGAATCACGGCTTCTGTTCTTGCTCCTCTCTGATTAGTTCCTTGGAAGATGTCAGTCTCATCGCTTTGGCCTCCTTTATGAAATTCCTCTGACAGTCCCTTATGAAGTCCTGCATACAGCTCCGGCCCTCCCAGGCCAGTGGTAGCTGCTCCTTGCCTTCCATTCTAGCAGTCTCTTTATTTGAAAAGTAGGGATAGTAACCCTTATCTAGCTGAGAGGATGGGGTGAGATTAACAGTAAATACACAGTTAGTCTAAGATTTTGTTGTCATAATTAATCCTGGCCCTTCCAAGCACATGTGCCCTTCCCCATATATGTGGTTGTTGCTTTGTGGTACTAGGGCTTGAACTCAGGACTTTGCACGTGCTGGGCAAGCACTCTATAGCCCTAGTCGCTACCCTTTCCCACCAAGCCACTTTGCTTTTGTTCATGGCGGTCCTTCTGCTTTGAGGGGCTGGTGAGACCGCTCAATGGTAAAGTTCTTCCTCTGCAAGCATGAGAGCCTGGGTTCAGTCCCTTGTAAAAAGCCAGGCCTGGTGGTTACTGCTGGTCACATAGAGACAGGTGGATCCCTGGGACTGGAGTTACCGGTGGTTGTGAGCTGGGAACGGGACTTAGGTCCTCTGGAAGGGCGCCAAGTGCTCTCAGCTGCTCACATCTCTGCAGCCCCAGCTGCTCTTGAGTTCTGTCCTTCTCTTCTGGCCTCCCCTTTCAGTCTGTTCTGGAAACTCTCAGTTCGTTATGACAAAGGCCAAATCTTTGGCATGGCTTTGCTTCCCCCTCCCAGAGACAGCTCTGTTGCTTTCCTGCATGGTGGTTTTCCCTCAGGGCGTGGCTTGTGTGCGTGTGCGTGCGCGTGTGCTGCTACTTCTGTTGTTAGTACTTGTTTAGTACTTGCTTCCTTCTCTGTCACTAAATACCAGTTCATCCTCCAGGTTTCAGCACAGGCACCGTTAATCAGGCTCAGACTCAGGCTCATATCTTACTCCGTATGAAATGATGCTCTTATGTTTTCATCTCTCTTCGCATCCCCCCCCGTGTGTGTGTGTGTGTGTGTGTGTGTGTGTGTGTGTGTGTGCCTGTACAACTTGAAGTATTTTTTTCCCTTCCACCATGTGGGTCTTGGGAATTGAACACAGGCTGTTAGGCTTGGTGGGAAGTACCCAGTGAGTCATCTTGCCAGCCTCCTCCCCCATCCTCTTTCCTCTCCTCTCCTCTCCTCTCCTCTCCTCTCCTCTCCTCTCCTCTCCTCTCCTCTCCTCTCCTCTCCTCTCCTCTCCTCTCCTCTCCTCTCCTCTCCTCTCTCCTTTCCTTTCCTTCCCTTCCCTTCCCTTCCCTACTTTTTCCCTTCCTTTCTTTCTTGAGATAGGGCCTTAAATAGTTTTGGCTGTCCTTGAACTCTTGTAGTTGAGGATGACTTTGAATTCGGGAATCTGTTCACACCTCCTTGTGCTGAGATGATGGGCAGGCTTGCATCTCTGTGCTTAGTTTAGTACTGACACTCTTATCTGGGACTGTCTGGCTAAACAGTAGTTTCTTGGGAGAGTGGTGACTGAATCTGTTTAATGCCGTTATGTGTCTAGTGCCTAGAGGGAAACTTGATAGGTGCTCAACCGACGTTTTTTCCATCTCATGAGCTGTCAGTGAGGCGGAGCTCTGTGTGCACACTTCCCTGGCCTTGCTTCTCGTTGCCTCTTGCTTGGCCTTTCCTTGCCGCATTTCTCTGAAGCCAGGAAAGGTATAATAGGATAGCCAAACATAACTTGTCTGTTTTTCTGGTAGAAGAGTTCTCTGAAACTTGGAAAATCCATGAATTCAGATTTTTCCAGTTTCTTCTTGGCCTGTAGGTACTTAAAATATGGGTACTTTTGTTAATAGTCAAGTGTCCTGGTTTGCTTTCTACTGCTGTGAAAAACACCATGACTGAAGCAACTTGGGGAGTCTTACAGCTTAAAGTGCATCATGAAGGGATGTCAGGGGAGGAACTCAAGCAGGAGCAGGGGCATGAACCATGGAAGAACGATGTTTGCTTTACTGGTTCACTCTTCATGGCTCAGCTACCGGTTACTTTTTTTTTTTTTTTTTGATAGGGTCTCTCTATGTAGCCCTGGTCTTCATAGCCCTGGCTGTTCTGTAGACCAGGCTTCGCCTATCTACGCCTCCCTGTTGCTGATACTAGAGGCATGCGCCAGCACACCTGGCTTCAGCTACCTTTCTTATACAACCTAGGACCATGTGCCCAGGGCTGGTACAGAACACAGTGGGCTGGGCCCTCCCACATCAATCATCAGTCAAGATAATCCCCAGACATGCCCACAGGCCAGTCTGCTGGGGGCACCTCCTCAATTGAGGGCTTTTCTTCTTAGGCAACTCTAGTTTGTGTTAAGTTGACAAAAACTAAACAGCACTTGAGGCTTGTTCTTTTGCTGGGAGGATATCAGTTGTTCCTGGTTGTCGTTATCTGCAGATAGGATGTAGGGATAAGCCACACTTCTCGGATGCAGAATTTCTCAGGTCGATACAGCACTCATGTGGCTCTGTGTCTGGTAAGCGCTTGTTCACCTGGTGTTTGGGTCACTGTCGAGTCCTCTCAGTCTGCGGCCCCTTCCTTTTCTCTTCACCTGTTCTTTCTAATTAAGAGGATTAACAGTTCAGGTGACCCCATTTGTGCCCTGCTTTCTGTCCATCTCTGTTCTCATTGTAAGAGTGAGTGGCAGTCAGGCCCTCCCTATCTCTCAGTGTAGAGGCATGGGTGTAATGTCTGGAGGGTGGGCTGGCTTCTGAGGTGGGAAGTATTTTCTGTCAGCTTAGGTATTGCAGGGGATCCCCCCCCTTTAGAACAGACATGATGGGAACAAGCAGGGCAGAGTCTGATTTTCTTGGACTGAAGAAGAGATCAGTGTCATGATCACAGAGGGCCATAGTCACAGATCTTAGTGGATTCTGTGTTGCTTGTCAGGGATCTGTCTCTAAGGGTCTGGGATAAATTCGGAGTTACCAGCTTCAGCCATTACTGAACATTCCACTTCAGGCCTGGCCAGTCGTGGGGAGAAGAGGAATGTCTTTTTGCTGGAAGAGGGCATTGCATGCTCGTTGTCCCAGGTGGAATAGTCAAGTTTCTGAAGAAGTGGGCAGGAGAGGCCAGGACCTGCTGTGTTGGTCTTACCTGGGGTGGCTGACTCAGGTGGGGAGTGCTGTGACAGCCTGTTAGTTTCTGTTTCAGTAGTTTTCAGCATGGGAGCTGCTGTGGGGAAGGTTAATAGAACTCTGGGGTCCAGAACTAGAGACTAGGGGCAGGAAGAGAGGGACAATCCCAGCATTGTATGAGGGTCTCCAGACTGCCAACAAGCAAATAAAATACAGTATGCAAAGAGAGCAACACTAGTTTGTCGGCTAAGAACTCAGTGCCACGGCATCCCTGGACTGGAAACTTTGGCTTCAAAGTAGACTCTGTGAAGTCAGCTGGATTGATAGGTTGTGCCTTAAACAACAGGGTCCATTTCCTTACGGTTCTGGAGGCTGGAAGTAACAGATAAAGATCCTCCCTAATTCCTGCCTTGTACATGGCTACCATCCTGCTTTGTCTTCATTTGATGGAGTGAGAACTCTGATTTCTCTCACTTTGCTTAGAAGGACACTAATCCTGTCAGGCCAGGGCCCCACCCTTATGACCCCACTTAATGTTGATTATGTCTTACAGACCCTATTTCTTATAAAGTCAGATCACAAGTGTTTTGGAAGGACACAGGCCCCTCCATTGGGATTCCTCTCTTTCCTTCCTCGTCTGTTCTCCTAATAAGCCCTGTCCTTGTCCCTTTTCCACCCCTGCTTCTTCTACCCTAGTTTAAGCCCTCACTAACTTTTACTGGGACAGAAGCCTTCTCAAGCGCCTTCCTTGACACCAGTTTCTTGTTTCTCCAATTCAGCCATGACAGGCTTACCAGAGTTCCTGTCCTAAATAAAAGGCCACCCTTCTGCAGGCCAGCTCCTCAGCCATGTTGGTTTGCAGGTGTGATCCAGATGCTCTATGCCTCAACTCAATATTTCCCTTCCAGGCCAGCTCACTGACTTTCTCTTTGGACAGGGTTTCTGGGATCTAGATAGTTCTGCCAGCCTGAATCATGGCTAGACGACCCATCCTCTTAGGTGACCAGCTGGTTCTGGAGGAAGATTCTGATGAGACCTACATTCCCAGTGAGCAAGGTAAGAGGCTTGTGGTAGATTGTAATCGTCCTTTGAGGACAGAGATTATATTTGATTTACTTAAACACATTTTAAAAAATTAGCCTATGTATATGGGTGATTTGCCTGCTATGTATATTACATGTGCACAATGCCTGCAGAGGCAGGAAGAGGGCATCAAATACCCTGAACCTGGAGTTACAGATGGTTATGAGCCACCATATAGGTGCTTGGAATTGAACCTCGGTCCTCTGGAAGAGCAGCCAGTGCTCTTGACCACTAAGCCCAACTCCCTGATTTGCTTTAGTTCTTCCTATACAGTGTTAGTTCCAGGCACAGGGCTGCTCAGTATATTTGTGTTAGATCAGGGGTTGGCAAACTATAGCCTTTGGGCTCATGTTGGCACCTAGCCTATTTTTTGTCAATAAAAATTTATTGGAAGACAGCCATGCTTATTTTACATCCTCTGTGATTGTCATCATGCTGTGATAGCAGTGTCAAATAATTGTGACAGATTTATGCCCTCCAAAGCCTACTGTATGTACTGTCCACCTCTCTACAGATCATGATGTTGCAGTATAGTGGATATTGTGAAATATGACATGTAAATCCAGTTTTCTTAGGCTAAGCCAAGACTGGCATGGTGACATTCCCTGTAATCCCAGCATTTAAGGGGCTGAGTCAGGAGGATTGCTACAAGTTAAAGGCCAGGACTACAGAATGAGTTTGAGGTCAGCTTGAGCTTCATAGTCTCAAAAACAACAAGGTTATGACTCAGTTGGTAGAGTACTCACCTAGCATGCAAGAAGCCCTGGGTTCTGTTGTAGCATCTCACGAATCCAGGTGTGGAGGTACATCTTTCAGGAAGTAAGTGTGTGTGTGTGTGTGTGTGTGTGTGTGTGTGTGTGTGAGTGTGTAGGATAGCAAAGGAGGATCTCCAGTTTGTTGCCATGTCGCTAAGCAGTGAGTTTATAAGATCCTTTCTTAAAATAAAAACAACAAAAAGAAAAAAAGTAGCATTATTTATTTATATTACTTTGGTCTAGTCTATGTTTTAAAAACTTTGTTATTAATTTCCTTTTCAAACCAAGCTGAGTATAGGGATGACTGCCTTAACCTTTAATTCCAACACTCAGGAGGCAGAGACAGATGGATCTCTGAGTTCCAGGCCAGCCTGGTCTATAAAGTGAGTTCCAGATCAGCCTGGTCTACAGAGTAAGTTTTACGCCAGACAGGGCTACACAGTGAGACCCTCTCTCAAGCAATCATAACAAAACCCAAAAGGCAGCTCCCTCCCCACTGTAACTCCGTTAGTTGGGTCTTGTCCTTTTCCCCGGCTGTGGGTCAGGTTCAGGAGGTTCCTGTAGTTCCACACTGCTGATTGGTAGAGCTGGGCCACTCCAGCCCTTGAAGTGCTTTGCTGCTCATGGATTGAAATTTGCTTTGACATTTTGAAGATACAAGTTATGCCTCCAGCTCAGGTGGTTCGTGGATGGTGGAGAAGGGTAAGAACATGTGCCCCCCAGTCTAGGATCCCACTTATCTTTGATTTGCTTCTAGCCTATTGTGATTGCTGATTGCCGTGTAAGTTCTAAAGTTGAATATATTCATTATTTTTATTTGTTAATTCATTTTTTAAACATTTACGTATTGGAGGGTGGCATGGTGTGTACATCACAGTAAGGTGGAGGTCGGAGGACAGTTTGTTCACCATGAGGATTACAGGAGTCCTGGAACTCACTTTGTAGACCAGGCTGGCCTCAAACTCACAGAGATCCGCCTGCCTCTGCCTCCCGAGTGCTGGGATTAAAGGCGTGCGCCACCAACGCCCGGCTCCACTTCTTGTTTTTGAGATCCAATTTGTAACAGTCCTGCTTCAGACTCCCAAGGCCTGGGATTACAGATATGCGTCACCACCAAACTGTACTTTTATTGCTCATTCTCTGGTACAAGAGAGGGGATCCAGACACAAAGGACACACTTTACAGTGGAGCTATATTCTCACCCCATACTCTGAATTAAAAAGAAAAAACAATTCTTTGTAGATTTGCTTATTTTTATGTGTATGTTTTGTCTGCATATATGTCTCTGTACCACGAGTATGTCTGCTACCCACAGAGACCAGAAGAGGGTGCTGGATCCCCTTAAACTGGATTTACAGACAGTTGTGATTCATTGTGTGCATGCTGGGAATTGAACCCCGGTACTCTGGAAGTACAGCCAGTGCTCTTAACCACTGAGCTATCTCTCCAGCTTAGATTTTGCAATTTTTATGTTGTCTATCAGTCTGATGGTGAATGGCCTCTGAGTTATGCATTTACTTAGAAAAGTCTTCTCCACCTAAAGGAGAACTGATTTCTCTCCTGTTCCCCCACCATTAACGGGACAGCTCATCTGTCTACTGCCCTTGCTATTGCCGTGTGTGTTTGTGTGTGTCTCTTCTCCCATTGGGCTATCTAGCCACATGCCAGTGTCCCACTCTGAATTTTTGAGGCTCTATCAGATTCTAATAGTCGGGCTAAAACACCCTTGTAATTTTTCCAGTTTTCTTGGCCATTTTTTTTGTTTTATTGCCCCATGACTAGTATTATCTTGTCAAGTTCTGGGTGGGGCAGTGTATGGGAGGACTGTTGGTACCTGGGGGTGTGGTGACGGATATTGGATTGATTCAGAGGGGACTGTCATCTTTATAAAGTGTAAATGTCATATTCCTGTCTGGGTCTTTTTCATGTTAATCTTCAATGACTTCAAATTTGCTTTGTTTTTACATTTATTTATCATATGTGTGTATACTACATACGGCATGTGTGTGAAGGTCAGGCTTGGTTACAAATGTCTGAAGTTTTCTTTACTCTTTTTTTTAAGTCAGTTGCAGTCTGAAGCTTAAGCTGTGTATATGTGAGCATATTCATCCCTTCCTTCCCTCCTTCCTTCCTTCCTTCCTTCCTTCCTTCCTTCCTTCCTTCCTTCCTCCCCTTCACCTCCTCCCTCCCTCCTTCCTTCTCTCCCTACCTCCTTCCCCTGGCTGGCCTTAGTCTCACTATGTAGCCCAGGTTGGTCTTGGACCCCTAAACCTGTGCCTTTATCTCCTAAGTGCTGGACCATCACAAGCCGCTTCATTGTTTCTGGAATTCAAGATGTGTATCCTTCACCTCTTCCAAATTGCTAAATGCTCCAAAATCTGCCTTTTGGATTGGATGAGATGTTTCTGATGAGGGATGTAACCTGTAAAGTCCATGCAAATACTCCAAAACTGGAAAGGGATTGAAATCTGCAGCATTTTTGGGCAAGGGATGCTTGATTTTTTTTTTTTTTTTTGGTTTTTCGAGACAGGGTTTCTCTGTGGCTTTGGAGGCTGTCCTGGAACTCGCTTGGTAGTCCAGGCAGGCCTCGAACTCACAGAGATCTGCCTGCTTCTGCCTCCCGAGTGCTGGGATTAAAGGCGTGCGCCACCAAGGCATTGCTGGGATGCTTGATTTCTATCTCATTCAGAACCACTGGCTGTCCTGGAACTTGCTATGTAGATCAGACTGGTCTAAAACTCACAGAGCTCCTCCTGCCTCTGTGTCCTGAGTGCCTGGATTCATTTTTCTTATTTACTAGACAGGGTCTTGCTGGCCTGAGACCGGCAGTGATCCCATCACCTCCACCTCTGGAGCATCAGGGGTACAGGCATGTGCTGTCGCGCCTGGTTTTCCTAGGGATTTTTTTCTTTTTTATAAAACTCTTCTGCTACGGTCTAGCTTCTGGTACGCTAGCCTGAGCCACACCATTGTCTCTGCCTCTGTGACTTCCTGCTCAGCTCTGTTCTCATTTCTGCATTGTGTGGTCTGTGTCCTGCCTACCAGCAGTAATCTTACAGGGAGAAATGATTGTTTCCTGGCTGGATCCAGTGCCCTTATACATATTCGGTATCCTTGGTGAGGCTTAGGGTTGTTTGTGACATGGCTCTCCCACCTTGCCAGTCTGGCAGTCTCCAAATGGGCGAAGCTGTATCTTGTCACTGTCTGTGGTGTTGGCTCCATTGTGCAGAACTAAAAAAGGTGAAGTTATTCAGTAAGTCATTCCCTGGCCAGTTAAGTGCCAACTGGCCCTTTGGAAAAAGTGTTATTTCCTAGTCCCCAGGTATGTCACCCTCTATTTCTCCACAGAGATGACTTGTATTGGTGATATCTGGCTGGCCTGGACTAGATTCAAGCCTGGGTATTTATTTTGTCATTCCGGTGGCCACTAGTGACATGTTCCAGTGGACACGTCATCTATTTTTTCCCCCAGATTGCTCTTAGAACAGTACCTCATCTCTTCTGGCCTCCAAACCTCTGGCAAAGGTCTCTCCTAACTGTCTGATTCCGAAAGGAGAGCAGAAATGGAGTCTGAAATATATAGCACAATTGAGTAAGAAGCAATCCCTTTTAGAAGAGGGGTCACTAGCGGGGAAAGAGGCCACCTGCGTATCATCTACTCTCAGCTGGGGACCTTCCTGTCCCTCAGAGAACTAGGCACTGCCTTCTGTCTGCTGCAGTGGCACATGGTACGTGCCACTGTCACAGCACACACTATCTATTTCATGATCTGTGCTTGCAAGGTCCTTGAAGATCTCAGTCTTCTGTAGTTGATGGAACTCACTTGGGCATTGAGGGTCAGCTACCTCGGGCCAGCTCTTGTACATCTTCTGAGAGCTTATAAGGCTGCCCTCGTAAATCTTCTGAGAGCTTATAAGGCTGCCCTCGTCCTGCATAGTTCAGGCTGTGGCCTGGGTCCTTCCTGAGGCCTCCCCATTGTGAGGTTCCGGCTGTGGCCTGAGTCCTTCCTGAGGGCCTCCTCACTGTGCAATCTTGGTTTTGTTACTCTCTCCCTTTGTGAACTGTGGCTTCAGATTATATTTGTGGGAATGTGGTGGTGGTAGCATGACTTGATTCAGATGCCATTTATAAATAGTGATGTAAGGAAACCGTTCTGAATGCTTGTTTATTAAAGCTTTTTGAGATGGTCTCAAGTAGCCCAGCTGGCCTGGAGCTCAATGTGGAGCTGAGGATGACCTTGAACTCTTGATTCTCCTGCTCCTTCCCAAGTGCTGGGATTACGGTTGTGTACAGCCACAGCCAGCTTTAGTTCTGTATATTTATTGTTTATATTTAGAGAAGCCATATTTTATCATTGAAGAAAACTTGGAGAGTGAAGAAAAACCCAGAAAAGAACTGACTCAATTTTGCTTCTTTCCATGCCTTCCCCTCCTCCTCTCTCACCCTCCCACCCTCTCCTTGGCCCTTCTCCTCTTTTTACAGAAATCCTTGACTTTGCCAGAGTGATTGGCATTGACCCCATCAAGGAACCAGAGCTGATGTGGCTGGCGAGGGAGGGTATTGAGGCTCCATTACCCAAGGGCTGGAAACCATGGTAAGTCCTTACAGTAGCTCACTAACTTGGCCTGTCAGAGACAGAGACTTGACTCTGGAATTCAGGAGAGAGAGAGAGAGGAGAGAGAGAGAGAGAGAGAGAGAGAGAGAGAGAGAGAGAGAGAGAGAGCATGTGTATGAGTGTAGATTTGATGTATACTGCCATGCTTGTCTTATGTGTATAGATATTTTATCTGCATATATGTGCGTGCACGCCATGTATGGGCTTGGTTCCTGCAGAAGTCTGAAGAGGACATCAGATTCCTTGTAATTGTAGTTATAAATGGCTGTGAGCTACCATATGGATGCTGGGAATTAAACACTGTCCTCTGCAAGGACAGCAAGAGCTCTTAACTGCTGAGCCATCTCTCTAGCCCCCCTATTTTGTTTTTATTTCTGTTTTTATAGGTTTATTTTTAATTGTTCTGGCTAGTTTTATATCAACTTGACACAAGCTAGAGTCATCTGAGGGGAAGGAGCTCAATGGAGAAAAAGCCTCCATAAAATAGGGCTGTAGGCGAGCCTGTAGGGCATTTTCTTAATTAGTGATTTGTGCAGGTGGGTCCAGCCCATAGTGGGACTGGTGGTCCTGGGTTCTATTTTCTCCTTCTTTTCCTTCCTTCTTTCCTTCCTTCCTTCCTTCCTTCTGTTTTTTCGAGATAGGGTTTCTCTGTATAACAGCTCTGGCTGTCCTGGAATTTGCTCTGTAAGACCAGGCTGACCTGGAACTCACAGATTCACCTGCCTCTGCCTCCCAAGTGATGGGATTAAAGGTGTGGGCCACCACCTCCTGGCCATGTGTTCTAATTTCATATAGCAGGTTGAGTATACCATAAGCAAAAAGTCAGTAAGTAGCACCCTCCATTGCCTCTGCATCAGCTCCTGCCTCCAGGTTCCTGCCCTGTTTGAGTGCCTGCCTTGGCTTTCCTCAGTAGACTGTGACTTGGGATATGTAACTCAGATAAACCCTTTCCTCCCAAGTTGCTTTTGGTCTGGTGTTTCATCACAGCAATAATAACCCTAAGACATTATGTGTATGTGTGTGGGTATATGCATGTTAGTGCAGTTGCACACAGAGACCAGGCCAGAAGAGGGCATTGGAGCCTCTGGAGCTGGAGTTATAGAAAAAGTTGTGAGCTGCCTGATGTGGGTCCTGGGAAATGAAATCAGATCCTCTGAAACAGCAGTACACAATTTTAACCATTGAGCCATCTCTCCAGCTCTTTGGCTGTTTTGTTTGTATGACAGGCACTTTACCTGAGCCATTTCCCCAAACCCTGGAGATTAGTTTTAATGATCAGGGGCAAGTCTGCCATTTCTCTGCAGGTTGCCTGTAACGAGCATTCTTCCTGCCAGCCTGGTCCCAAATGAACTGCATCAGTCCCAAATGAACACGCAGGATGCTATATTAATTATGAAGCTGTTGGCCGTTTGCTATGGTTTCTTATTGGCTAGCTCTGACTTAATTATTAACCTATAACTGCAAATCTGAGTATTTCTATATGGCCTTCTCTTACTGGAGAAAGGGTCCGGACCGCTTACTCCTTTGGCGTCCTACATGGTGACTGACTGTGCCTCCATTTCCCAGAATCCTCCATCTCTCCTAGTCTCACCTAGCTTGCTTCCCTATTTGCCAACAGTGCTTTATTCATCAACCAATAAGACAAACATATACACAGAAGGACTTCCCCCATCAGTAACCTCTTGATACAGGACTGAGTGGGCTCACTTGAAGGTCCCTGGGATAGGATCAGAATGTCCCTCTAGACCATAGAGCTGCCACCCTGGCTCGGTCCACTGGTATCTGGGTTGGTCGCATTGAGGAGGAGTCTTTGTTGGTCCTTACACACAGATAGAATGTTAAAAGTGAAAGCTATGGGATTTGGGGAGATTGCTCCGTGTAGGCAGTTTCTGTCCCAGGAGCTGTTTCCCAAATAACCAACACTTAGACTTACTGTTTCTTATAAATGCTTGGCCAATAGCTTAGACTTGTTACTAGCTAACTCTTGCATTTAAATTAACCCATATTTCTTATCTATGCTCTGCCATGTGGCTTGGTACTTTTTCTCAGTACAGTATGCTCATCTTACTGCCTCTGCTGGTGACTCCTGATTCCGCCTTTCTTTTTCCCATCATCCTTAGTTTGGTCATCCTGCCTATACTTCTTTCCTGGCTACTGGCCAATCAGCATTTTATTAAACCAATTTGAGTGACAGATCTACAGTATACAAGAGGATTATTCCACAGCAGCTCAGTCTGTAAAGTGCTTGCTTTGCAGCCATGAGGTTCTGAGTTTGGTCCCCGGAACTCATGTGCGAAAAGCTAAGCATGGTGGTGCTGGCTTGTCATCCCAGCATAGGGAAGTGTAGGTAGGCACTTCCTGGGGCTTGCTAGCTAGCTAGGATATCCTACCTGATGAGCTCTGGGCCAGTAAGAGACTCTTGAGTAGCAATGCCTGCGTTTGTTCTCTGGTGACCACAGGCGCGTGCAGAAATATGAGTACACATGAAAATGCACTTACCCAGAAAAAGTGATGGCTCATGTCTTCAGTATGTCTAAAATAGATGCTGAGGCCAGAGGGTTTGTAGTGAGGCCACACAGGTTTGACCATAGATTTCTGTCTCCCTTAGTTATCCTAGAATTTGTGTAGCATATTCTTTTTTCTTTAAATTATTATTGTGTAAACCATACATGTGTATATGTGTGTGCTTGTGTATAACTTTGTGGATTTGGTACTCCCCTTTCACCTTTATGTGGGTTCCAAGATTGCACTAAGGCTACGAGGTGTCATAGTTAGGGTTTCTATTGCTGTGAAGAGACACCATGACCATGGCAGCTCTTTTTTTTTTTTTTTTTTTTTTTTTTTTGAGACAGGGTTTCTCTGTATTGCTTTGGAGGCTGTCCTGGAACTCGCTCTGTAGACCAGGCAGGCCTCGAACTCACAGAGATCTGCCTGCTTCTGCCTCCCGAGTGCTTGGACTAAAGACGTGTGCCACCAACGCCTGGCTCCATGGCAACTCTTAAGGAAAACATTTAATTGGGGATAGCTTATGGTTTCAGAGGCTCAGTCAGTTATTGTCATGGTGGAAGCATGGCAGTATAGGCAGACATGGTGCTGGAGAAGGAGCTGAGAGCTCTACATTTGGATCTGCAGATGTAGATACAGGAAGAGACTGCCACGCGTGGCTCGAACATCTGAGACCTCAAATTCTGCCCCCAGTGACACACCTACTCCAGCAAGGCCCATACATCCTAATGGTGCCACTCTCTGTGAGCCTATGGGGGCCATTTTCTTTGAAACCACCAGGGTTTCCACTCCCTGGTCCCCATAGGCTTGTAGCCATATCATAATGCAGAAATGCAGTAAGTTCAACTTTAAAAGTCCCCATAGTTGGCTGCTGAGGAGATGGTTCAGAGGTTAAGAGCACTGGTTGCTCTTCCAGAGGTTCTGAGTTCCATTCCCAGCAACCACATGGTGGCTCACAACCATCTATAATGAGATCTGGTGCCTGTTTCTCATATAAAGTTATATATGCAGACAGAGCACTCATACACATAAGATAAATAAATAAATCTTTAAAAAAAGTCCCCATAGTCTATAAAAGTACAAAATCTCTTCTGAGATTTATACAGTCTCTCTCTTTTTAAAAAAGATTTATTATGTATATAGTGTTCTGCCTGCATGTACCCCTTAAGGCCAGAAGAGGGCACCAGATCTCATTACAGGTGGTTGTGAGCCACCATGTGGTTGCTGGGAATTGAACTCAGGACTTCTGGAAGAACAGGCAGTGCTCTTAACTGCTGAGCCAACTCTCCAGCCCCTCATGTAGTCTCTTAACTATAATCCCTTAAAAAATCAAAATAAAAAAAGCAGATCACATACTTCCAACATGTAATGGCACAGGATATACCTTTCCAAAACGGAGGAAAGGTGACATAATGAGGAAATACTGGACCAAAGCAGGACCAAAAACTAGCTGGGCAAACTCTAAATTCTGCATTTTCATATCTGATGTCATGTCTCCAACTTCATTCAGCTTTGTTGACTGTAACACACTTCTCTCTCTTGGACTGGTTCCATTCACTGTTAGCAGCTCTCCTTCACAGGTAAACCACGGCCCTGACATCTTCAACATTTTGGGTTCTCCAAGACAATCCAGGCTCAGTTTCATGAGCTTCATGAAATGGCTTTTGTAGGCCTCCATGCAGGGGCACCCTTGACATACTCCTGGCTTCAGGAGCTTCCCTTAGTCATGGAGGGAGGGTCCACAACCCCTTTTTCTATCCTTGACTCTACACGCAGAACTGCATAGCTGAAGCTGCGAAGTCCTGCTGTTTGCTGGGGCTGGAACATGGCACTCTTGTTTAATTACATCTTCACTAACTTTCTGTTTTTGATGGTTTCCTTCAACTTGTTCTGTAGATTAGGCTGGCTTTGAATTTAGGGGATCCACCAGCCTCTGCCTTCTGAGTGCTGGGATTAAAGGCATGCACCACCCCACCAACCTGGGTCCTAAGCTTTTCTTTAATTCCTTTTCACAAATTGGAAACCTAGCTGGATGGGGTCTTGCTCTGAGGTCACTACTCCCTTTATTTTACTTAGCATCAGGCTTTTCTTTCATCTGGGTACACTTCCTGGTATCCCTTTACTCCTCAAATTGTACATTTTATATTTTTCCTTTCTCAGCTTGCTCCTTTTCATTATAAATCTATATGAGTGGATGATAATAATCATAGAACAGTCTATACTGGACTGTTTTGAGACTTCCTCTGCTAATGCAATTAATCCAGAAACTCTTCAGTGTAGCTCAGGCATTCTTTTCGAGCAAGGGTAAAAAGCAGCCACATTCTTAGCCTAAATATCAGAAGAATGGTCTCTAGGCCACATACAAATATTCTTCTCTTCTGAAACCTCTTGACCCTCACAGTTCAATTCCCCGTCAGCACCACTGTCTTCCATGTTCCTACTAGGATGGCCCATTAAGCCCCATTTAAAGTATT